CGTGGCGCCAACAGCCTCTACTACCTCCCACGTCGCGTACACCCTCGTATAATCATTCTAGCAGCCATTTCAACTTGCCTATAAAGTAAGATTAGGTTTTTGCTCGTTCACTGGCAGTTTTACTTGTTGAGTTCCACTAAAGCCTCCTATGAAAATGCAATTTGATTCTGTTACTTCAATCACTTCAATAAAGCCGGAACACTTAATAGAACTTCCGATGGGTTGCTGCTGCTTGAGGATGACTCATAGTGAGGCTTTCACCACTGATCGTGTTGACATTGTGCTCAACTCCATATGGCTACCACTTTTTCATGACTTTTTAGCTGGCCGCTGCAAAAAAAAATTTAAAAAATAAAAAAAGTGGCCTGCCTGATTTGAGCAATTTCTCTCTTCACTTTTGTTGTAAGATATTCTCAGTGTTGACCTCGAAGCCTGTTTCTGCCCTGAAGTCAGCATGTTCACGAGAAAAAAATGGGTGGCGCTCTGTAACTTACATTTACTTCAGTACACATGGATGTTTTTTGATCATTCACAGTAATCAATGTTTACAGTTGGGAACCAGCTTTACATTTCCGCCGCAAAAAGGGAATTATAGGAAGGGGAGCCTCATATTGCTTTTAATGAGATGTATTAGAGATATGTGGGCGTGTTCTCTAGAGGGATGGTTCTAAAGAGGGCTATCATGAGTGAGCATAAGCATGTCCCAGAGGGCCACATACGCCTTCGGGCTTGCTCTTCGTCAGGCCCTTTCATGCAGCCGAGTACACATCGCAGTCGATGCAGACTGAACATGACTGTTGCAAATTCGATCTGTGGCCCCGAGCCCATCATCTCCGGGATTCCTTTCATCGTGGGCAATCCTGTCAAATCGGAACGGCGCCTTCTTTATAGGATAATTGGAGACGCCCCTCGACCACATGGCCCTCGTCCCTCAGCCCCCTCTTTGCCTTCTCACCGTCCGTCAGCCCGATACCACCACCCTCACACCCTCTCCACCCTGTCTTCCTATCCCCACTCGAATCGATACCGCGACCTCACCGATTGTATGCAAATCACGCACTCATTGACTCACACCCACCTATTGTCTAAGATCATTCGATGTTTAGTATGTCATCTCCTTTGTTACTACGTAGTACTGAAGATAGTGTTGGAACTTTTAGTCAAGTGTGAGATTAGCTCCTTTTTGATCAACAACTTTACTACTTTATAAAGAAGTTCACTATTTTTTCACAGTCACTTCCAACATGCATACTCCGTGCTTCACTGTTTAAGTACTTTTTAGAACCTGCATTTAAAAAAAATTTAATAATTCTCTCCATATATTACTCGAAGTCATGAGAGAATAAATTGTCAGCTACTACCGTTCATCTTGCATTTTGGGTACAGTCATCTATAGTTTTTTATAAAAGATCTTATAAAAGATTAAAGATTTTTATAAAGGATTTTATAAATGATATAAAAGATATAGGTTTGTGATCAAGAGTTTTTTTGCCATCAGTGAAGAATGAAGAGGAACGTGAAGTGAGTATGAATAGTAATGTTTCGGTTTTCGATTTCCGACTCCCATATTTCGTAGTCTTACAAACTTCCGCACAGTTTGAAGTTTGGGGTCGTTCGAATGAATATTCACATCTTCTTTTTCGTTTCTATGGCTCCTACTTTCTATGATCATTTTCTATGGTTGATTTCCTGGATTTTTTTTATGATTACAACTTCCTTTGTTTTTGAGCCTGTTAAATGATGACCACTATTAATAGATAGGGATTTCCTAGAAGCTTTGCCAAAATCCCTATGAGTTTCCTATTTCATTTGAACTTCCCACGATCAAATTAAACTACGTCAAAGGTTCCGCTCCCAAACAGCCTTTATCGTCGCTCGATTTTCCTTCCACCGCCCTCTTTTCTTCATTTTGCCGATTAGACGGCGTTCAAGTGGAAATTTATGGGAATTAAAGTGGCCTTTTAGTAGGAGAAATGTCCCAACAGAGTACATGATCAATATCTCGAAGAATAATGGCCTACTATTAAGCAAGTGTTGCTCAAAAGTGCAGCACATGTTTGAGGAGTTACGAGATCCTTCCGCTCTAGCCAAACGCCTCTTCCTCACACCCTACAATGGGCCCTACTAATGCCTCAAAGGCTATTTCTGCTGAGGGAAATGAGCGTCCGGAATGGACGTAATTAGAGTACGCTTGTTTTAGATTGAGTCAGGTCATTTTGGCGTCCTATGTGGAATCGATCTGTTTTCGAGATAGTAGGGTAGATGCCAACCTCAGAGTTATTATATACCAGTTCCATTTTACTGCTTAATACATGTTGGTGGAACACATTTTGCAATTATTTCGTTGTTTCAGAGTTATTAGATTACTATCACTGACAGTTAATACTAGTAATAGCACATGGATAAGATATTCCAGAAGGCATTGTTAAAATATTCCTTGAGAGATCGTTTCAATGCGGAGAAATTTGTTGTTTCACCGCCTTTCAATGCATTTGTCTTCTTTACGATCCGGACAGGCATCGCATTTTTATTGTTAATACTGGCCTTATTTGAAGTAATTTTCCTTTTTTTCGTTCTTATCGCACATGAATTACTGACTTGTTTAATTTAGTGCTCGAACGATCACTTGTGTATTTTGAATCCGAATAGTTCGACTTTTCTCAGTTTCGCTCAAAGTTCAAGCGGTTTTGATAAAGTGCACCGGTCTTTAGCATTTTGAAAACCCCATAGTTCCCGTATTTTCGAGAAAAAAAAGTTTGATAAGTGTCCTGCAGAAGACAACGTTTCAGACTTTTCAAGGCTATTGCTCGGGAATTCCGTTTGGAAGAGAGGGGATGGGATAGTGGAAAGTAAAGCCATTGCTATGCCCATAGTCCAGAGTTGGAATCCGGAATCAAAACCTGCTCAGGCCAAGCAAACCTGAACGGGTTTGGTTCCAGGATTCAATGCAGGGCTTAACTGTTCGGAATCCACGGTTGGTAGGAGGCTTGTCACACTATGGCGTTCCATTGGGGATTTGTTCACCAAGCGCTTTATCCTTTTGTCCTATCATCGTCTATTTTTTTCCTCAAATATCTTTCCTTCAATAACTTTCCTTTCGTCACTTGCAAGAAAAATAGCCCGAAGTTCATTTTTCAGTTTTTAATGCTCTTTGTTGAAGGTTACCTCCATTTGCCAAGATCTGTTATTCGCTTCATTCCAATGCCAGCCATTGGAAATGTTCGTTCCCTCATTTTACCTCAATATATTATTCATGAAGATAACTCTTTTTCAAAGCAGGAATGACCACCCTCGCTGCATAGATTTATGGATTCTTTAAGTAAATGACTTTTCTGATATCAAGGAAGATCAGCCATTGCAACCACCGAACTCTACCACGGACATCCGCGTATACTGTTTTTTATTAGTTTTGGCACAGTAAGCCATTCCTAAGACTGATCTCATATTTTTCGAACTCACGTGCTCTGACGAAAACCATTTTACCGTTTCCGAAAGCTCAACTTCTTACTTTCGAACTTCTCTTTAAACTTAACGATCCACAGGGTCCGTTTTTTCATCGCTATAGTTAAATTTCAAAATTTCCGGTTTCAGCTGAAAAATTTGAGTCTATTTTATGTTCTTGTCTTGATTTTCCAATGAATAAAAAAGTGTTAATTAAGTTCAGATGGGGATTAAGAGTAAGAAGCTCCTCGAGGATGAGGAGAGACTGGGATCTTTCATTGGAAAATCTCCTCTTCTAACCAGTACTAGAGTTTCTTCTTGGGTGGCAAAGAGCCGAGCTCCTAAATACTTTTCATGTGCCTGAATTTCCTGTTTTAATAATGGGTACTTTATTTTTCATGGCATATATCATAGGAATAGATTAATATTTCGTATATCATCGTCTGGACATTGTAATGAATTAATTATTTTAATCTACCTTACCACTTCGTTCAGTAGTCCATTGTCATAGTTTAAGATGAGCTCTCGTCAGTATGCAGATTCTAAGATTAATTAGGATTTTCTATTAATGTTTATGGCTTCGGTTATGGGTTTCGTAACAAGTATTACTGAGCAGCTGTGGCCTTTGATCTGAATGGCGATCTTAGATCGCATGAATAGCGGACACTACATGCATTCATGATGCTTATTCACTAGTTCACCCAGCTCGCAGCATCGGTTACTACTTACTTGAATGTTTCTTCTTACTGTATGAGTAGACCTGTTACCAAACTACTTACTATTTACTCATTTCGTAGACTGAAACCTAACACATTACTAGTAACGCAGACAATTCAGTTTAATCAGTTTTTGTTGCTGTTTCGCTGACATTGAAGCGCTTTACCATTATGTTGTTTTTACTATTATTTATTTTTATTTTACTTCGATTATTGATTTGATTTTTGATTGCTTTATCAATTTGTTGATTATCTTGTTGCTTCTGAATTCTACATTGATCTGAACTCATTTATTTTCTCGTGTTCACTTCATCTGGTCAAGGGTACTCAAGTTCATGTTCTTTGACTATTCAACTAGTGTTTCCGGAAAAATCAATATTTCTTATCAACAACAGTTACTGGATAATGATAGTTGAGGTAGTTCAGTAGAAGGACTTGTGGGGGATGTAATTTGCGACTCCAATTCAGTGCTTAAATAGTTTTCTGTTGACACGATCAATAAGCGTCATTTGCATTACATCTACAGGTGGCATCAAAGGCATGTTACAAAGAATTTCACTCTATCATCGAAGGGTGTTCAGTGAACCTAATGACACCACGTTTATCGCAATATCTTCCAGTTATTTTGACTTGATGTATTTTCGCATGTTTCACTTTTTTGGACACCGCTTAATGGAGGTTCTGCTGGTAAAAGTCTTTTATAAGGTCCTGCTCATCTGAATATCCCTCTAAATTCATTTGTTCGTCAAGGCTCATTAACGTCGCTCATAATTTACTTCCGTACCATCTAATTGCTTGATGTTTTCAAAAAAAAATAAAATGTTATTCCAGAAACTTGACAGTATGTCCACGGTGTCCGCAGGCGGTCGTCGTGGTCCGCCCAAGGACTTCCGCGGCCCACCCAGAGGTGATCTCAGGCTGATTAAACCTCGAGGGCGAGGCTATTCCCAGTCTGATGTAGGCGAACCATGCATTCCACGCTTTTCAGCAGTGGCCAGCGAGGTGAATCTTAGTTAACATGTGCAAGAGCCATGTGTAGTATTCAGTTCTTCAGGGAGTAAAGATGGCCCTACCTCCGGAAGAATACGGCGAGAATACCACTGTATTGACGGGTGTAACCAGTGAACATTCGTACAGTGGCGATGATCGGCCCATTTATGAGCCGCCCATGGGACGCGTTGTTAGCAGAAGGTAAGCTAAGGATTCAGTATCAAATATGTAAAGTATACCAGTATCATTGGTGTGATATAGGTGAACAAGAACAGTGAGCCCTGCAGTCACATCCCCTTATCGTATCTTGAAAATACCTGACCGAAGTTTACTTGTTACGTTATTCTTCGAGTCCAAGCGTTTCGATTACTTAAATAGGGGCTTTTAGTTAGTAATTAGTGCAGTATATACTTACATGTTTCTATTTATGATATTGATTGGTTAGTATTCGACTAGTTTAATACTACTTGAGAGGTGAACTGTTTATGTATACATACATGCAATCCAATGAATAGCTGGCAAAAAGCCAACTTCACTGGTTCTCTGGTTCGTACTCTTCCTCCTTTTTTTTCAGAGCCGTAAGGTAATCCTTGCAGGAGCTACCCTGTCGACTGTATTTTTATGTAGATTAATATGTGGAGATGCTCCATAATTGTTACTAGTAGCCATAGTACCTTAAGAAGCTCCGTCCGGGGAAAAAGCCAGACCGCCCATTTTCGATGTGTGACTTCGCCGTGACTTGTAGTGGGGCTTCTGATGAGTGTAGTTTGCACTCCTCTAAACTACTGCTGCTGGCTGCTCAGGCTTCTCCTCCGTATGCAATTATAAAGTTTTTAGTTCCATCGGCTGTGTTGTTCCAATAGGGCTCAAACCTAATAGTAAACTTTTGAAAGCTGTCAGTAACCGTATATTACAGTTTCCAGCTCTTTAACTCCTGATCTGACCCTGATTACTATGAAGTTATTAAAGCTGTGATTATACATTGTTTACTTCAGATGCTCAAGAATGCTGTGGTTGTGTGCAGCCGGTTTAATATCATTGTTAGCTCTTATCTCAGCACCTCTGATGTGTTCATTACCAATAGCCATGAACTATGTAGGATATCATTATCCCCAGATTACTTGTGAAGTAAGTAATTTAACTTCTTTTTAAGGCTAGTTTTTTATTCCTTGATTAAATTGATTAATCTAATTGATTTTTTAACTTTATAATCCAACTTTTAGGTCGATTGTCAAGGGTACTTGTTGTTAGTAGCGATTAAATCTCTGTTACTTGTTGTTGCTTTATGGGCTCTTTACTGGCGACGTGCAGCCGCCGATCTACCACGTCTGTCAGTTTTGAAAATTACTTTTCAATTTAATTAGTTAGTAAACTTATTCATCTGATGGAATTTTATTAAACTTTTATTTAACAGGTACTTTGCTCGAGCAGCCCTGTGCTTTTTTGTATTGTTCATACTGTTCGCCTTTTGGTTATTCTATACAGTGCGAATCTTCTTAGAACGGCATAGTAACTACACCTACGTGGTAAGTTTCTGATTGAGTAGTGGGGGAGCAACATTCGTTTCAATTCCGTCTCTCTCTGAGGAACTAGCAGTCCCCATGGATTTTGTCCAGTTAAGGAGCTAACCTTTGCGGGGTATCAGTCTGGGAGAGATCCAAAAGGCTGGAGGCAAGCGGCGGAATAGGGTGATTAATTTCTGTTTCTAACTTTCCCTCTGAAAGATCTTCTCAAAGAGAGCTGAGCACAAGTACTTGGGCAAACTGGAGGTCCGAATTCCGATTTCCGCCCATCTAAAATTCGCCTCAAACTCGTTCTTTCTCACATAAGCGTTACTCCTAGTTTCTCCTTCTGAATTACAAAAAACACAGAAGAAATAAGCTACTAACAAGTTCTCGATTTGGTTTGAATGACTTCACTTTAATGTTGATTTTACAGCTCTGAGAACTAAATATATTAGGGTGCACTTTTCCTTGCTTTGGATTGACTTTTGGAATGACTACTAAACGTGTGACCATACTATCATAACTGAAGTAAAGGGAAAAGAGGCGAACCTTTTCAAAGGTGGACCGCCCCGGTAACAAGCACTGGAATTTAGCCCAGCCTAAGTAATGCTTATCCCAGAAAAGGGGGTGAAAGGAGAATCAGTGACTTCCAGTTTAACTATTTTTTCACGTGTCGCTGTGGCATGCAGACGGTTGGCGTTGCAGGCCAGGTGGCTTCAGTGATCACGCACGTGTCAGACCGAAAAGCCAATGCGACGATGAAAAACTTCTTCCGAAGTTTTTTGGGAAACGTGAAACTGAATGGCATTCTATTTCAGATTACCTATGCTCTTTCCTTACTGGATGCTTTACTGTATACGCATTACATCTCTGTAATTGTTCTGGAGTTACGACGTATACGTCAGGAATACATCATTACAATTGTTCGAGATCCTGATGGAGAATCAAAGACGATGCCTATTGGTTCGTTCTATTTTTTCTAAAAGTTTTGAAAAAGTATGAAAAATTCTTTGCTCGGGTGTGCGACTTCGGGCGCAATGCGCATTACTGTAAAATGCTCTCTTGGATGCTACTTTCTGGAATTTTTTTTTTAAATTTTGTTCTCCACAAATCAGCAATATTCATACTTGATTGACATGTGGCCCGCACGTTCATTATAAAGGGTTTTCGCGCGCCAAAATTGGCACTCCCTTCCTCTGCTTGTCTGCGCTCTCTCATTAGGACACCTCTGGATGTGGTTTGATTAACTATGGAAGGGCATCTGCCAATGGTTTTCTCTATTTCTTCACAGTTATTGGAAGACTAATTTTGTCCTGCAGGTAAGCTGCCCCAAAGGTAATGCCATCAGCTTGAACCAAGCCATCAAACACTTTCTAAGTGGGAGCGCGCAGACGAGCAGAAAGTTGGCGTTGCCCTGCCTTGTCGGCTACTTCCCTTTAACAGCTTGTCGCCCTTACGTGCCAAACTTCCCAGCTTAGTTCGTATCATAGGTTTTTTGATTTTTCTCTCCGCTGGAAATTGATACCACCTTATTTAAGGTATGATGTCTTTGCAAGAGGCCGCCATCCAAGTTCTACGTTTTCACGAAACTCATTTCCCTTCGTATAACGTTTTTCTTGACAGGGTACGTTTTCTCTGTTTTTCTTGGTTTCTCTGCTTTCGACATGTGGCCTGATCATTGAGTAGTTATTAATACCAGTATTATCACCCCACTTCATTAAGGCACGTCAATCAAGTCACCGTTTACGAAATGCCTCACAGCCACCCGGGTTCAAAATGTATGATATCGAAGGGATTGGAGGTGGAACGACAGAAATCAGCCAGGTTTTTTTGTGGGTTTTCACTCATTGGAGTAGCGTTATCGATTAGTGGGGTTCAGAGCAACCTGCGCGCTCTCATGGAAGCAACATCCAGACGCCGCAATACCAATCACAACGATATCCTACAAGAAGAATGCGAATGGGAAAGACGAATTAAAAAGCGAAAGTAAGTAATTTGGATAAAATGTAACAAAATAATATTTAACTGGTTTTCTCACAGATATCGTTTGATCGCTTCGGCAGAAGAGGCGTTTGCTCAAGTTCAGAGCATCGTCGATAATCAAATTGGAAATAAGGTAATTGTTGTAACTTCGTTTAGGGTAATCCTTTTGGGAACATCTGGCCCTTTGGCCAAGGTTTGAGCTGAAATACGGCTAATTGGATCTTAAATTTCAAACGTTGCGGTGATAAGGTCATTCTTTTCTCGACACAAGTTGACGAGTTCATCTAAAGAGTACTTGAATAGTAAGTATTTCATGTTTCAGAATTTCTGTGATGCCATGGATTCAACTACGGCAGCTCAGGGTGTTTTTGCATGTATAATGCGTCCATTGAACAAATATTTAAGACAGACAAGACAACAACCTCGACATCCCGCTGAAGCAGTAACGCATCATATTGAAAGGTTGGTTTGAGTTCCTTACGACATTATGAAGTTTCATTTCAACCGAGTCACTAATTTGTAATACAACTCCTGGCTTNATTGTCGTGCAACCTATGCAGTACGTAGTGATCGGTCCATGAAAAGTGTCGAAAACTGATTGTTTTTCTTATTGTATGCTGAGTAGGATCCCTTGAACTTAGCTTACGCCATTTTTGGGCCATATAGAGCAGTAGAGCCTTCTCAGCTTCTAGAAAGGAATTTTGTGTACATCTCATCACTACCACTGGATATGGTATCCGAAATTAATCAACAGTAAGAAAGCCTTCTGACCGTATATGATATGTTCATGTTTTAGCCCCTTTATGGTGGCCGGAGCTTAGTGTCAGAATCATTATGAAGTCCTCATTCCAGCAGAATCCAAACTTTTCTAAATTTTTCGTCGTTTAGATGCCTAAGCATGCGAATGAGCTACAGGACGTTTTTGCAGCGGTTCTTCAGCGATCGATTTCCTGCAAAAGTAAGTTGAATAACTTTTCGAAATCACATACTTTTTGTATCCGTCTTAAATCTTATCAATTTTCCCTTCTTAAATTTAGATAGCTTGGAAGAGGTTATGTAAGTTCAACTAAAAATTGAGCATTTTTGTAAAGTTTCCATCTTCTTGTCATGCTTTGGAATCAGTGACCTCCACTCCATACTATGTACGACCAGGAGAGCATGAAAATGCGACAAAAAATTTAGGCTTCAAATTTCTATTGTCAGAATAGCCTGTAGAAGTAGTTATGGATATAGTCATTTATCGTTCGCAGTTGTTAATTTGCAAGCATATCTGATACTTACGTTTCAGGACATTGTCACCGAATCAAAGTGGTCTATTATTTCTGACGAACAGGCGTCAATTTCTATTCAGCACGGAACAACATTTCTACTTCGATCGCATAATAAGGTAACATTTTTCTCTTTGATATTTTCTTACTACCTAACTTACACTGTGTGCTTCTGGCTGCCGTTTCAGGTAATCTAATGTTCTTTTTATGATCTACATCTCGCAGCAGTGGGGAAGTTAGGTTGATGTTGATAGATGGGCAATATGTATATTGTCTCTGTAAGCAAGATGAGCAGCTGATCCTAGAAATATACGTTACTTTTTAATGAAGACCGATTGAACTTCTGAATTCGATACCCGAGATCACTCTCAAAACAGCTGATCTATCGACAGGCAGCCTGTATACAGGGGTTTGATGGCGCAGCTGTATCACCTTCCCATTTGGTGGTTGTCAAAACCGGCAGGGCTCGTGGGCAGCAATCACTATGGACTAAGCCAAAGAAAGCTTTGAGATCACACTGCTGCAGTTGAGTTGAATACATGGCTGTATTTTGGGTGATAAGACGGGCACAACCCCAATGTAGTGCGATGACCTTTTTGGCAGATCTGCCAAATAACTTCCGAGCTAGGTTGCTTTCAACGGACAGCTACTTTCGGCAACATTCCGATTTCCGGGGATCAGTGACCGAATAGACGCGGGGCACGGCAATGACATTCCGCGGAAGGATTATAATCATCAAATTGTTTTTTTCTCAAGTTGAGATAGTCCTGTATTTAGAGATTTTTTCTTCAGGAAGATGATGCAGGCGTGCAGCTTCTGTGTACTGTAAGTTCCCTACCGTTCTTCAACCTCACTGAACAACAACGATCCGCAAACAACAAATTTGCTCTGAAAATCAGGAACGAGTCGTCAGTATAGGATATTGCCTCATAATATATTTGGCCTCCTTCTCCTAAGATTTTCCTCAAAAGCAACAAATATTTATGAATGATTTCAATTGGATCACTGGTGCCTACAAGGCTTTTCCTTTTGCCCATCTTTAACTCTATTACGGTGTACTTTGTTGTCATTCCTATTGTGTTTTTTTTACGTTGTTTATTCGATTTGCTACGAAGTGTTGAATCCTGTAGATTATCCTTGAGGGCTGTACCGCAAATTAGTTTTTTGTATGTAAATATTTGTTGTATCATAATAACATAGCACCCTCCTGGTCAGTCATCCTAACACGCATTTTCCTGTTTCTGTACCGAGTCGGATGTGCTCGACCGTTTTGTGATCTTCGCTCTTTGACAATAAAGTATTGATTTATATATTGATTGAGCTGCCACAAGAAACTGCGTAATCAAGGAAGTAAATCTAAAAGCGATTATTAATCAATAGTTGAATGTCGTGAATATGAGTGAATAACACCCAGATATACTTTTCTCCACTAGTTTGTATTTGAATTGAGAGAATCTGGGAAAATATCAGCCATTCGAACCATGTCCTATGTTGAATAGCCACAGACTTGCTGCCACTTACGGGTACTAATTCTGCTTTTCAAGTGTACCGTTTAGTATCGTCATAAACTTAGAGTATGCAAGGACTCAAGCAGGAGCAGCATGAAAACCACAGTGCATGTGTAGTCCGGCTACAGACGGCTTTCCACTGGCTGCTTTCATAGTCCGCCGGCCGGCCCGCGAGCGCGCGAGCGAGCGCGCCGGCCGGGGACTACTCGGCCGGCGGTATCTACCAAGATTCAGTTGTAAACAAGGGGCAAGCGCCGCTCACGGCCGGCGGACAATGAAAGCATCCTCTATAACAACATTTCATCACTTGTCGGTTGGGCTCAACTTCAGTGCTCTAGTGGTCTTTGTAAAAAAACAGCTTTTACACCTTGTAAAAGAATAGGGTGTGACAGAAAAGTTGAACTACGGAAAATGAAGAAGTTGTAACTACGCATGTAACTGACCAAAACTATTATTATTAAAAGCCATGAAAAACGGGTTTAGCCCATTGAGCAGCCTCGAACGACGAACTTCCAGCTCGAGGGGAGAAGCAGCTTCGGCTGTCAATAGCCAGGCTGACTTAGGGGAGAATATTGTCCCTTCGACGACAATGCCGATTTCGACGTGATGCGCCCATGGGACCACGCCCCCTTCCTTTCGGCCACGACTGGCACCCACCGGTGGGTGCCATGGTCCCAGGAGGTACTCCATTCTCCGGCTTAATAAACTTTGCAATATTTCCGCATAATAGGGGCATCAGATCATATTTTATCTTATATAAAGCTAAGGCTTAGAATTGCATTTGGAGTTTGGAAGCAATGTAGGTTAGAGTTCTGGTAATATTTCACGCAGTAGGAATTCGTATGACATCCAAGGTACTTCAGGATGGAGAGAAAGACCGCGCGGTTACATAATCGCATCAAGTATTCTAAGCACTGCTTCCATTGCTTCTAGGACACACACAAATCTTGCAAAAGTATCTAAGTTCTGCAAACTGTAAAAATGAATGTTTGTGTTTTATAATGGCGTCTACGCGTGATCATTAAGGTTCCCCGATATAATCGGGTACAGTACACCACATACTTCAAGAAGTAATTTGGTTCGTACTTAACCACCATTAATAAACGGCGAGGCAGTATTATAGCAATACTTATTAAGTCTCAAGCTCAACTATCACTGATAGGAACTTCGCATGAACAATCACAGCCGCCACTCTCGAACGGCTCATGTCATACATAGACACCTCATGTAATAGAGCTTTAACGGGGGTGATACTCCCAACTTTTACGACAAAGTCGTAAAACATAGCTGTTGGTTTCTCGTGATCAAAGGAACCTTGTGTTTAGGACCGTTTCAGTACTAGTCCACTGGCTATATATGTAATAAATAAGCAACCATTGAACACTTCAAATCATACTAATCATCATATGTAGCGTTATCAGGCGGAGATACTGGTTCATCTTTTATGGATAATCTTTTAATTCATAATTTCAAGCAGTTTGTATTGGAGCCAACTAGAGGAGAAAGCATTTTGGATTTAGTTTTAGCCAATGATGAAGCCTTGGTGAATGATATCAAGATTGAGCCGCCTGTGGGTAGCAGTGATCACAATAGTATTTCATTTTGTGTGTCAAGTGAATACTGTGAGCCACATTCTACAGTTTTTAGAGATTTCTCTAATTGTGACTTTGTGGGGCTGAAT